CTTTTTTTTTAACGATAGTGAGTCTGATAACCTATAGGTTATATACGAATATATCGTTTTTAATACAAAGCAGTTAAGATTCACAATCACTTCCCTTTTTAACGTCATGACTATTAATATCATGGGAATTAGTGATGACAAAATGTATAGACTATAGTTGGTATAGAAGAATGTCATTAGTGAGACGAGGAGTAATGGGAGGATGTATTTACAGCGCACTGGTGGGTGTTGGATTCTGTAGAAGATTTCCACCCAGGTTTAAATTCGGTGGAGCCACAGCTGCTTACCAGAACGTCTGCGGTACGTTTATGTTCGTGTTTTTAATAATGAATTTATATAACACTAATAATCAATACCTCGACAGACAAGTCTCCATTATCTGGGACACGTTCGTTCACACTACACCAGAGATTATAGTCGATGGCTCCAACGGGGACGTCGCCTGTGACAGCTACAATACAACCAATGGATGAAAGACGTGGAAGAAGCTTCGGAGTTGGGATTAGATTTCTACAGGTGATACATTGACTCTGATGTTACAATACTTATTTATTGGTTGCTATGAAATTGAAATTGGTAGTTTTTATTTATTTCACTGTTACTAATTATTGCACTATCACTTTTCTGACCAAGCAACTTGAAAAAAATGTACCAATAGTCACGCGATCCCTCTCAGTCCGATTTAATATTAACTTTTCATATACATATAATAATAATTATAGTTGGTTAGTAAATATTTTTTTACGGAATCTATATATATAAAAGAAAGTCGTGTTAGTGATTCCACTTATAGCCCAAGAACGGCTGAACCGATTTAGCTGAAAATTGGCAGGGAGGTAGTTTAGAACCAGGAATTTGCAATAGGATACTTTTTATCCCGTTCGGCAGCATTCCCGTGGGACTTGACATGAAACGTCAGTCACTATAAAACGTGGAATAACACAATTGACAGCTATGCAATTGACGTATAATGACAGATATGTAATGACAATGTAAAAATAAAAATATTTAGGTAATGTGTTTGTAGTTTGAACTCTTAAAACCATTGTTTTTGACATGGGCAGTTATATTTTGCGTGTTCACGAGTTTGGAAACCATACACTTTATTTGTGTTAAAGTTAGACCAAAAAACAAAAAATGTGGTTTACAAAGGAGCACTTCAATGAAACGGATAATTTGTGGACACGTATAACGCTTCGATTCGGTATCTACTTTGGATTCACTTTCATTTACTTAGAGAAGTTCAACTAAATAACAATTCATTTTTGTAATCGAAATGAATTCATTACTGTTGTGAAATGAAATAAAAATTTTCCTTTTCAAATATAAAACAAAAAACTCTTCATCTTTTAATCACCAAACGAAATGCTATATAAAAGCCTTCTGGTGGCGAAACGGAGTTCGCCAGGTTTACTAGTATTAGTCTAAATTTTTAATATGATATCTTATTTTTATATGTATTTTTTATAGATTTTCCCTTTCTTGGCCAAGAATTTTGCCTCATGGTTTTGCAAATAAGACGAATGAAGACGGAGTAAAATTTTACTCCAACTTTATTGGAGAGAGGAATCTAGCCTGTCGTTACAATATATCACTGGGATTGCCAAAAAATTTACAAGATCTTGGTGAGTTTTAGAGATTGCTAAAAGTATTTAATACAAATACATTGCTTCTTCACTATATAAAATAAAATAAATAATTAAACAAAACACTACATAGTTTTCAAAATACTTCATTATAAATTTTTATAAATTTATAAATTTTAATTATATAAGTTCAAAGAGTTCATCTTTGCTGATAAAACTGAAGAACCCATTTAAATTAATATTTTTCAGTAACAACATGTTCTTTGCAAATGATTTCTTTAAACGAAAACGAACGGCAAATCATATTGATGAATAAATATTAATGAGTTCAAATCTTTCTAATCAGGCAGGAACTTTAAATAAATCTTGTAAATTAAATATTCATCAATAAGAATCCTCACCGTTCAGTGCATTCTACACAAGCTTGTAGCACTATATGAAATGTTTGTTAGCCCAAGTTATAATTCACAGGCGGCTGGAGCAATCCTTTAATATCAGATTGGTTTGCGGACTAGGCTCGTGTTGTGTTGACTCTATACGCTGACCGAGTCAAAACTTGGATCACTCTCAATGAACCGCTGACGTTTTGTGACATTGCTTACACTTTTGGTCTTCACGCTCCAGGAATAGTTAGCACTGGAGTTGGAAATTACATCTGCAGCAAGAACACAATGCTGGCACACGCTAAAACATGGCGGATATATGACAAGGAGTTTATACGAAAATATAAAGGTAAAAGAATTATACGAATTTATAAACAATACTTTAGGTACTTGATTTTTGTTAATTAATGTAATCTTTAGATTCTTCTGAATTAATTCTGCATATACTATTGTGTTATATTACATTTTAAAGGCGAAGTGTTTATCACCAATCAAGTCATGTGGTTTGAGGGAGAAGGTGAAAATGAAGGGGACGCGGCTGAACTGGCTCTATAGTTAATGGTGAATAAAATTACAAAGAGAGTCTAAAAATAATAGTATTGCTAAATACTTTTGAAGTTTAATTCAAATGATTGAAAATGTTCATTTATTGTCGTACAATTTCAGGGAGGACTGTACTCACACCCAATCTACTCAAAGGAAGGCGGTTGGCCGAAGAAAATAGAAAAACTCATAGCAGAAAAGAGTAAACAACAGGGATTCCCGAAATCCAGATTACCAGAATTCACAAAAGAAGAAAAAACTAATAAGAGGTGAGAAAAATAATAACAAAACTAGGAATTTCTATTAATAATTATAATTAAAGTTATAAGAAAGCCATATAAATAGCAAGCTCATATCTTGGTTGAAGAAACAGTATGGAAACAAGGAGATCTTCATAACAGAGAATGGTTTCGCAACCAGCGGCGAGGATTTAGATGATCAAGATCGTATGGATTACCATAAGAAGCATTTGGAACAGGTGATTAATATTAACAAAGTTACATTCCAGATGGACAAATAAAAAAAATATATTATTATTTGAACTAATATCTTCCACCAGGTTCTCCTCGCGGTTGAAGAAGATATGGCCAATGTCGTGGCGTACACTGCTTGGTCAATGTTGGACAACTTTTAATGGAGCGATGGCTATCGGTAAAGACATATTGACTTCAAAATGTTTTTAAATTTTCTTCTGTTCATAATCTGATAATAATAATAATCTTTTCAGTTCTAAATTCGGTTTATACGAGGTGGACTTCAACGACCCAGCCCCGCACCCGCCGCCCGACTGCCTCCGCCAAGTATTATATAAAGATATTGTGAAAGCTAAATAATATGATTTATAATAAACAGAACTTTGAACGGAAAGACGTTATTTGTTTGATAAATAATAAAATTAATTTTAGATGTGACTTGGGATGTCACTTGGACCTTTATCTAACAATGATTCCTACTCCTCATGGACTAGTGACTTGACTTTTACTTTACTTTTACAATTTCATACAGAAATACATTACTATTTATTACAAGTAAGTGTTGAAAGACGAAAGGAACTGCTTTTAATTAAAAGTATTATGATAGTTATAATTAGCAGGTTATGTACACACGAATAAGTTTTTGTTTTTCTTGTTTGTTTTTTTTTTTCAAATAAGAATTTGGATTAGTTTGGATATTCCGATTTAAATAACTTTCATAAACCGCTGATGAACTGACCGTAATAGTTTCAAGGTACACAATATATTATAGATATTAGTTGTGTTCGGACCGCTGTAACTTAATGTGCTAATATAATCAATGTTTTAGAGGAGGAAATTATGATGAAAATAGTTTTTTTTTAAATGTTAACTTTAATAAAAATATAAGTTAAACTGATTATTTGCATCTTTCGCTGACACCAAACATCATTTCTGATGATGAAGATACTTCTTTTATCTTCCATAAGCATAACTATTAACTAAAGGCTTTGGCCGCTTCTTAAAGTTGTGAGACGATATACTTAGTAGGAGCTCCATGAAGTATCTTCCTTGAATAGCTAAAAGCTTGAGACTTCCTCGAGATAAAATCAAAAAAATTTCAGGACATTTATATTAGTAATTCAATTTTTTGTCATTACATATTAACTGATTTGTTTCAACAAACAATGAAATATTTTATTTTGTTGTGTTTCTATTTATACATATATTACGACTGAACTCAATTTACCATATACATATATTTAACAGTTCTGGCTGAGAGATAAAAAACGAGGACTATGAAAATTCCTTACAATATTCTATACTCCAAAGTTTAGAATGAAGCGCCACCTATAATAGGTTGATCGTCAAATTAGCGTGGTTGTAACTACTTGCCAATAGATGGCGGTTTATAAAATAATTTCAATTTCTCATGGTATTCAACGTGCCAGTGAATTTTGTGAATCTTATACATAGAATATTTTACTTTATTGTGAGTTTGGTTGTTCATCCGTTCCTTTATATTATCAATTTCTTAGTTTGCTTCAGATTTATTGGTTACCTGGCTTGTTAATTGGATCCAAGACTAATCAATATAATTTTTTTCGCAATTTGCCGGAATAAATCTTAAATTATATATCATTTTGTTTTTAACAATTTTTAACAAAGGGTTTTATTGTTTACATTTTAATGAGTAATAGCGAATATACAGGGAAACAAGTGAAAGAGACGTAGTGAATTTTTAATAAAAATAATTAACCCTTTCCCCCCCCGGTTTGGAGAGATTTTTAACGAATTTCCGCTTTTGAACTTTATTTTCATAATAAGGTAGGTAAAATTAAAAACACAGATTTTTTTTAGATTTTTATTATAGTTAGAAGTACTATTTCCAAGACCTAGACTTATAAGTACCGTCAGGAACTTCGTGTTAACAGAGTGGTAGGAACTTTGATAGAAACTACAAAAATAATGAGATCCACTATTGACTTAGCAGTAATTAAATTAATGACTTAAGTAGTAGTAATAAAAAAAAAAAATTACAGGTTAACCTCGTGGTATTCAATAAAACAATTTTTCTTTTCGTTTACACACAAAAACACGTTGCAATGCGAACATTTACTATGAGGTTTCGACTGAATCTTCTTCAAACTACAAACCTCACACCTTCCCCTGTTCTCTACAAACGTAGGCCAATGGATGCCTCTGTTACCTAAGCGTACGTCTTTTATAGTGGAGTAGTCAGATTTGCGTCTTTTGGAAGGGCCGCCTTTTGCAGTATTGTCAGTAGAAGTCTTCCTTTTCTGACTAGCATCTTTCATTGTCATCAAGCCTTGAGTAACAGAACGTCTAAAATCTTTTACGGTAGTCTGTTCCATTATAAGTCCATGAATGACAAATGCATTGACAAATACGATGTCCAGAAGACCCCAAAACAATCTGTGCCACCATTTCGGAGATTTGCGATCTATACAGTAAAGGGCTCTCAAACGATCAGCTGTATCTACGCCGCCCATATACATATTGTAATCTTTGACAGCTATAGGGCATGTAATGGCTGACTTGGTTCCATTTTTTTCTTTACGTGACACAGTTGCCTCTTCGTTCCCGTGAAAATTAGACACTAAATGAACCATTTTATTATCCTTCCATTTCCAATATCCAATGTCTAAATTTGAAAATCGATGATCACTATCGCCCCTTTTCAATTGAGAATCAGCGAGCATATTTCCGGGCAGTCCTTTTCTGTTACTTCGGATAGTTCCACATGCGTAGGTGTTTTCAGTTTTCAGTTTCTCAAGTAAAGCCACAGACGTGAAAAAATTATCAAAGTAAACTACCTTCCCCTTACTCCAATCTTGTTCCGTTAACTCCAAAACTACTTTCTCTCCTAATCCATAGCCGGTAAATTTTGTGTTCAGTTCTTCGTCTTTCCCTTGGTAAATTTGAAACTTCTTTATATACCCCCTCTGGTCAGCAAGACACCACAGTTTGTACCCCCTTTTTATGGGCTTCATAGGTAGATACTGTTTTAGGACAGACCTACCTTTGAATTTAATCATGGACTCATCTACACTCAGTTCGCGAGTACCATGATAAACCATTTCAAATTTTTTATTGAGTGCATCAATCATTGGTCTAATTTTATATAATTTATCTTTGCAGCCTGAAGGCATTTTGGAGCTATCATTGCAATGCAGATGAGATAAAATAATAGCGAACCTGTCTCTAGGCAAAGTCTTGCAAATAAGCGCGTTGTTGAGATCAGGTGCCGAAGAGTAGTGGTCTCTCCACGCCGGACGAGTATTGTAACCCATAAAAAAATTAATACCTATAAATGTTAGGAGTTCCTCTTTTTTTTAGGTTCAATACTTTGCTTTTCTGAGTAGCATAAAGGTTACTTTGGTATACAATATTGTCAACAATGTCATCAATCAATACTAAAAATATATCAGTCGGTGTGGTACAGTGAGCAAACCAGTCATCTACTACTCCAGTATCCGCAATGTATTCCGGTAAAGATGTACTTAGGTCCCTCTTTTTCCATTTACGGTTTGGTTCGGGTAATCGCTGGTTAGTTCGGTGTGAAGAGTTATTTGCAGATGGTAGATCAGGCTGAACACTAGGTGCAGGTAATGAAGATGTGGGTACCTGATTTATTGGGTACTCCAATACATCTTCATTTGACGGCGACGACGGCGGAACTTCGGCCAAAACATCTTCTATAGCTCTTTCAAAAATTTCATCGAAACCTCTTGGCGAGGGTAGTTGAACATTTTCCACTTCATCATCGGACACACCTGCATCAGACGCTTCGTCGCAGTCCGGAAGCTCTTCTAATAACAGGGCTTCAATTAGAGCCGTATTGTTTTTAATATCCATCTCAATTCCTAAAACAATAAAAACCTTGATTAGAACAATAATAAAAAAAAAATAACATGGGTTTATAAAAATAATAATAAAATAAAATAACCACTTCATCGTATACATGTATTATAAAAAATCATAATAGCGAATATACAGGGAAACAAGTGAAAGAGACGTAGTGAATTTTTAATAAAAATAATTAAATCCTACCTTTAGTATTATATTAATTAGTATAAATGTGAAGAATAAAAAAATATACTTTCATAATAAATCTCCATCCATATTATTAACAAAATGAAAATATTTAGTTCAACGATTGTAGTAAAAAGGAAACACTAATTATGTAGGGCGGCAACCAGAGGTACTAGGAAAACTACAAAACTTATTTTTATGTATATTATAATGAAAATTACATATTAAAACTTACAACCTATTGCCCCGATGTTAGGATAGCAATCCCATTCCATTGCTTGTGTGTTATCAGGAATCTTCTGGTTCACACGGCTTGGTGTTCGTTCCGCGGAGTCAGCGGCGTCACTCGTTATATATTTTATCTATACAACCACTTTGCCCGGGCGACGTTCATTTATTTTATAATATGTTACACGTACACAACAAAGTCATCTTGTATCTGTACAAATGTTACATAAAAGTATTGATTGACAATGTTAACTCAGAATAATGAAAAAACAGTAAAATACTAGTGTTGTGGTAGATACAGTCTTTATTGTAGTAATGTGCTACAACATGGGTGGAGACAGTATTTAAAAGCTTTCAAATACAAGTTGATACCCAAACGTTGCCATCACAACTTTAACAAAGGTTCAATATTAAGTGGTTTATATAAATAATTACAAATATTGGTTGCAACTTAATTGATAGCTATTTTTACTGTGTACAAAATTTAGTATCATGTTCCACAAATACATTAATTTATTATTTAATATAATCAGTCATATAAATAATTTTGAGGACTATAGTATATAATAATTTTTCGTAATATTTTTGTAATCTTAAAAGATAAGTATTATTATTAAGTAGCTAGACAGTAATCTTCAGCAGTGCTTTGTACTTACGTCTATAACTGGTACATACCTCAGATAAGTATCTGTTTTAAATGTTTTGTTTAAAGTGTTTAATGTATGTACTGTTGATGTGCCATTCAAATATGTAAATAAATGAAATAAATAACAATTAGTACGGCACAGATTGCGCCACTTGTAAGTTGTAACATTAAACGGCATAACTCCTCACACTTCGGAGTTGGTTCTATGACATACAAACAGCGGAATAACATTTTACACACAAGTATTTAAAAGAAACTTACAAACATATTATATTATGTTTATTATAAAGTAACAAGTCTCGTCTTCATATGTACATTAAACAATCCCCCAGTTCATTTCTATCATATATTTCATCAAGTTCAAAGTATACAACAATGTCTCCGATACATTTATATCTCAATAGTTTGTGTCTTGTGTGTTGCTCACCGGGGCCGTGTGTCTCTGTGTGTGTAGTGTTCACAAGTCAGCTCCACGTAAAGCGACACGTCCTTAGGTTCGCTCTCCGTCACTCGTAGGAACTAGTTTCTTATACACTGATCTCGACCTCACCAACAGAATCCACAGCTCCGTGTCCAAGTATTACCTGTACAGAGACATCCGTTTAGTGAAGGACAGTATGTGTGTGTGTGTCTGTGTGTAGTGATAGTGTTAATAAGTGTTCCACCAGCCGTGTGACGTGATTGTAGTACAACCTGCTCACCTATACATACAGTGCTACATGTTTTCGACTCACAATTCCCAGTAAGTTCATTTGAACCACTAAGAAACCGCAGCGCCCCCTGGCGATGTCAAAGATCTGGTGATACTGTCCAAGTCTCTAAGCTCAGAGCCATAGTCAAGTGGATACATTATGTTTATATATATTATAGATACTGTGAGGGCGCTTTACATATATGTATAATAAAATAATAATATGTAACAACAGTAAGTTAACAATCTAGAAGCTACTGAAACAATGATTCTTAACATGAAGCAAGTCCCGCAGGAGCTACATACAAATGTATGGATAAAGCTTGTATTAAAAGACATTGACTGTTTGAGCCACTGCAACACTACACCTTCAACACTACACTTGATACTTCAAGTCTTTTACATTCTAATATGTTTAAATCTCAGTCACTTCCCTCTCCATATAATGTGTAGCTCATTGTCTTTAATATATTGTGTCTAGTTTAATCACACACTCATGTTTCATTAATAGCTACCTGATTCATTGTTAGTTTTCATCTAACACTTGATGATCAGCCGTCATCTCCTGATGGATGAATCTCAAGTACAGTCCAACACCATCTGTAATACATAATACAATATATTAATACTGTTCACAAACAATATTGTTCATATATAAAGACATACGGACACAGTTACATCAAGGATTGTTTGAAAATAAAAATTATAATATTTTACATTATTCTTAAAATATCCACAAATAAATTACACTTCATATCACTAAGAAGGTTTATGATTCAAATAAAACAATTCTTTATATATCAGTCTAGTTAATATCATCATTAATAACATAACGTAAAATGTATGGAATTATTATTTATTATTTAAATAAAACAATTCTTTATATATCAGTCTAGTTAATATCATCATTAATAACATAATGTAAAATGTATGGAATTATTATTATTATTCTCTTTGAAATATTGGATTCATACAGAAATTATAAATGTTTATACTTAAACTGAACACATAAATTGATTTTACTTAAAAAGTATAACACTATTAAAACACTTTTATAATAATCGATTATTCTAGAACAGGGGTTCCCAATCTTTTTTTAGTTCCGGACCACTTTTATATTATTCTTGTTAGCAGGGACCACTATGTTAGTATAATAAAAATAAACTGTAATAATCAAACTGAAACTTTAATTAACAAATCAATAGGATATTACAAGACAAGAAATAATAATATATTTAGGATAAACTTCTGCAATTTTGTATTAATGTGATTTCGGAGCTTGCATTTTCTTCACGAGTTCGGCTATCCTAGGACTAATATTGTTACTCAAAGCTACACGCAAATCAGCACTTACTTTCAAACGATTCCTCGCTTTGTTTTTAATTACCAATAAAGCAGAAAATCCTTGTTCACATAAATAAGTTGTTGAAAAAATCATAAAATAGCGCAAGGCCATTTCTCGAAGTTTAACATAAGAAATTTCTTTTTTACACCAAAACGACTCAAGACTCACCGCCCGCTAAATTTAAAATCATTCGCGGACCATATTTTGGCTTCTGCGGACCATTGGTGGTCCACGGACCACTGGTTGGGAACCATTGTTCTAGAAAGACGCCATATGGATTTCATCATATATAATATCAACAGCACATGATGAATTATAAAATGAATGTGTCGATAACAGTTTACTCAATATAAAAGATACATTATGGAGAAATTAACAGAACATACCGTCACACTACTATCGTACATCAGCTACATACACTTCTCTTCATAGAAGGTTTCCTCTCGTCCGCAGACCACGTCCCAACAGACGCTCCACCAACAGCTTCGACCCTCATCTTGAATTATATATTCTTAAGAGTCCTGTAACGTAACGAATGATTCTAGTTTTTATTATGACAATAGATGTCTTACTTAAATATTCGACTTACAAGAAGTCGCATTTTAAAAAGTGAAAAACGTAATAAATAATAATAAAGAAGGCCATTGAAACGATATAACGTTCAAAAACCCTGCGGGCAATGTTACGCTTAGAGAATAGAGAATAATTCAAAATATACTATTAAAATAAACTAGTACTCTTATCACTACAGATAATAAACACTAATATTAACCAAAACTAAAAATGTTTCTTAATAAACAATTGCATTTGAATGTTATGTCAATAATATAAAAAGTAACATTTATTAGTACCTATGTGCAAAAAAACACTCACCATGAAGATAACCGACGTAAAACACATCCATCATAAGGAAGGCCGCGGCCGACTGCCACCAGAGGCACCAGAGGGGGAGGCGTGTAATCCGCGCGCGCCTCATAGTTGAGGATTATTAGGCCACAGAGTGGGTGACGGGGCCCGCCTGACCATCTGGCGGGTCAATTCCTGTCGGGGAGGTAGCGAAGAATGCTTCGGCGATACCCGCCTCTCCGGCACACGGGTAGATGAGGAACACGGGTTAGTTTTTAGTCAGTAGGAGTCTGACAGTCCCCTCCGTCCTTCCCCGAGGGCGGCGGGGCTCCATGAGGATTTTCTAACCCGACACCAAAAAAAAAAAAATGAATTTTGAAAGCAATTAATAGTAAAATCATAAAATGTAAATTAATAAAATCTAAAAACTAACAATAAACGAGCCGTCGGGTTGGCCACACTAAGAATCATGGGGAATGGGGATGAAACCAGTGTTGCCAACTTTATTTTTTAGAGGATCGTACTATAGACTAAAAAAAATAGTATTTTGTCTTGAAATTCAAGAAAATAAGCGTACGCGATGAAATTTCAATAAAACTGCGTAAGTATATCACATAAAAATGGAATTTAATTCTAATTTTCATTTAATATTAAACATCAATTAATGTGTGGAATTAAAATATTCATTAATTACATATATTTTGAAAACAGAAAAAAAAATTAATTGCTATAGTCACTATCTGAATTATTAGGCACAGCAGATGCGGGAAAAGTATTATATTTTTGTACATATGTACATACATACTTAAATTTAATTTGCTGAGCATATCGTCACATGACTTGAAGTTTATACACGATCCTTTTTCTTTATTATGTTGTGCAGCTAACAAATTCTTATTTACCGTTTCTGGAATACATTTTAGTTTAACATATTCGTCATAGATCATAGTTATAGTATAGTACTAAATATAGTTAGTTATAGTACTAAAGTTTAGTTTTACACGTTCCTTATAGTTTTATTGGAGATTTATTTTTTCGTAAGACTTCATTTAAAAAATCGTATATTT